AATAATAATAGAATATTTCCCCAGTCCTAGTGTCTGGAACACCTTGCCCATTCCTGCTCAACGGCACATCCTTTCCAGTATTGAAACATGGCTACCTCCCAGTCCTGGTTCCCCTTCCCAAGTTGCCCCTTTTCTACCTCTGTTGGCAGTAGGGAGAGCCACCTGGGCAATCTGTCAGTGTGGCTTGGTGGTCTGGCCGAGAAGGGCTGAAGGGGGCATGAGGGCCCCAGTTCCCCTTCAAGTGATACAACCCTTCCTTCTTTGCAGGGAGAACAACCTGGAGGAGTGCGGCTTGGAGCTATTCTTCATCCAGGACATGGACATCCTGGGCAAAGTGACCACCCATGAGCTCAAGGAAGGCGGGGAGAGCATTCGGGTCACCGAGGAGAACAAGGAGGAGTACATCATGTGAGTGTGTGCACACGGGTGTGCAGGGCAGCAGGGAGTTCAGAGGGATGGTCTTGTAACTTAGGTCCATGCGATGTGAGGCTCCCTAGTTTGGTCTGGGCTTTATGGAGTCCAGATCTTCCATCAAATATTGGGGGGGGGGGGGCTCTTTCACACTTCACAGTTACATGTACCCCTGAGATGTAGAGTTTGGTTGAGGTCCCAGAGCTCTCAGCAGATCCTTCCCAAATCTAGAAATCCCAGGGCTGCATAGGATGGAGCCTTGGAATCAAAGGAGTAAAGCTGCATGATGTGAAAGAGGCCAAGGAAAAGCAGTAGCAAGGATGGGGAAAGCACTTTGCCTCTCTCGAAAAGCTGCTTTGCCTCTCTCGAAAAGAGCACCTACCTCAGCGTTTCTCAACCTGGGGGTCGTGAGTGTGTGTCAGAGTGGTCGCCAAAGACCATCAGAAAACACAGTATTTTCTGTTGGTCATGGGGGTTCTGTGTGGGAAGTTTGGTCCAATTCTATCACTGGTGGGTTCAGAATGCTCTTTGATTGTAGGTGAACTATAAATCCCAGCAACTACAACTCCCAAATGTCAAGTCTATTTTCCCCAAAATCCACCAGCATTCACATTTGGGCATATTCCAAGTTTGGTCCAGATCCATCATTGTTTGATTCCATGGTGCTCTCTGGATGTAGGTGAACTACAACTCCAAAACTGAAGGTCAATGCCCACCAAACCTTTCCAGTATTTTCTGTTGGTCATGGGAGTTCTGTGTGCCAAGATTGGTTCAGTTCCATCATTTCCATCATTGGTGGAGTTCAGAATGCTCTTTGATTGTAGATGAACTATAAATCCCAGCAACTACAACTCCCAAATGACAAAATCAATCCCCTCCAACCCTACCAGTATTCAAATTTGGGCATATTGGGTATTTGTGTCAAATTTGGTCCAGTGAATGAAAATACATCCTGCATATCAGATAGTTAGTTACATTACAATTCGTAACAGTAGCAAAATTTCAGTTATGAAGTAACAATGAAAATAATTTTATGGTTGGCAACATGATGAACTGTATTAAAGGGTCACGGCATTCAGAAGGTTGAGAACCTCAGACCTAGCTGTTGCCAAGGTGCTCTGAGGGCTGGATCATGAGTGAGCCAGGATGGGATCCACTGGAAGCCCTGGAGGTGCTGAGCATCTCCCTTCTTTCCTCCTCCTTTTTCTCCCTTGCTCTTTCTTTTCTGTTTGTTCTTCTTACTTTCTCTCCTTCCTTCTTATTCTTTCTTTCTGTTCTCTCTCCTTCCTTTACTTTTTCTCTTCTTTCTCTCCTTCCTTCTCCATCCTCTTTCTTTTACCTTCTCTTTCCTTCCTCCTTCTTCCTCACTCACTCACTAACTTTCTTTCTCTCCTTTTTTCCAGGCTGCTGACAGACTGGCGCTTCACTCGGGGTGTGGAGGAGCAGACCAAGGCCTTCCTGGACGGTTTCAACGAAGTGGCGCCTCTCGAATGGCTGCGCTACTTTGATGAGAAGGAGCTGGAGGTGAATGAGAAGGGCCTCTAGATTTAGAATCAAAGCCCAAATTCAGGGACTCCATTGGGTTTCCTTAGGACAGAAATTTTCAGAGGGGGTTCTGCCTATTCTTTCCTCTGAAATGCTGCCTCCAGCACGTGGGATTGACTTCTGGTCTCCCATCCAAAAGCTGACCTTTTATAACTTCTACAATCAGGCATAATCTAGAGCAGCTTTTCTCCACTTGGGGATCGCGAGGGGGTGTCAGAGAGGTTGCCAAAGACCATCAGAAAACACAGTGTTTTCTGATGGTCATGGGGTTCTGTGTGGGAAGTTTGGCCCAACCCTATCGTTGGTGGGGTTCAGAATCCTCTTTGATTGTAGGAGAACTATACATCCCAACAACTCCAAAATGTCAAGATCTATTTTCCTCAAACACCACCAGTATTCACATTTGGGCATATTGAGTATTCATGCCAAGTTTGGTCCAGATCCATCATTGTTTGAGTTCACAGTGCTCTCTGGATGTAGGTGAACTACAACTCCAGAACTCAAGGTCAATGCCACCAAACCCTTCCAGTATTTTCTGTTGGTCATGGGAGTTCTGTGTGCCAAGTTTGGTTCAATTCCATCATTGATGAAGTTCAGAATGCTCTTTGATTGTAGGTGAACTATAAATCCCAGCAACTACAACTCTCAAATGACAAAATCAATCACCCCATCCCCACTAGTATTCAAATATGGGCTTATAGGGTATTTGTGCCAAATTTGGTCCATTTAATGAAAATGCATCCTGTGTATCAGATATTTACATTCCCATTCATAACAGTAGCAAAGAGAGTTATGAAGTAGCAATGAATATAATGTTCTGGTTGGGGGTCACCACAACATGAGGAACTGTATTAAGGGGTCGCGGCATTTGGAAGGTTGAGAAACATGGATCTAGTGCCTTTTAGGGCATTTAGGCTGGTTTAAGTATAAACTAGGAGCAATTCCAGAGAAGTAAACACACCTTTTATGGGGGACTGAAGATTTGTCCTGGGGCTGCTTTGTGTCTCAATCAAAATATAAATAAACAATAATATTAATCTCTGGGTTCGCCATGAGTCAGAAACAACTTAAAAGCCACCCAGCAAACAAGCCAGTCGTTATCGAGACTGAAATAGTTTACAGTTTAAAAACCTAGTTAGTTAGGTTTCTAATAGGGCTGACTGCCCCCCCATTTGAGAGCCACAGCAAAGACCTGTCCATTAATCCTTCAGTCCATCCATTATGACCTTTCAGGAGACTATCCTTGTAATCCATGGCATCTGTTTTCTCCCACTTCATCCATTGTCAAAGATTGTGTTATTCCACAAAGGAGAAGGGAGAGGGCCCACCAGAATATGGTTTGCCAGCTGAGCTCCTCAGTGGGAACTTGCAGGTCACGTTCAGCCCCATTCCAGGCTATTCATGCTTCTCTCCCCTTTTCTGCCCCCCCCCCCAAACCCCAAAGTTGATGCTGTGTGGGATGCAGGAGATCGACATTTTTTTTCTTTTTTTTTGTTTAATTTTTTAAATTGTGGGATGCAGGAGATCGACATGAGTGACTGGCAGAAGAACACCATCTACCGCCATTACACCAAGAACAGCAAGCAGATCCAGTGGTTTTGGCAGGTCAGAAATATGGACTACCTGGAGTCTGAGGGAGTCTCCTTTAGGGGAGGTTTTTAAGCAGAGGCTGGATGACCATCTGTTGGGAGGACTTGGATTGTGTCTTCCTGCCTGGCAGAAAGAAGGGGGTTGCACTGGATGGACTTTGGGGGTCCCTTCCAGCTCTAGAAGTCCTCCTGGGCTGCAGTTGGCTCTGAAGGATGATCCTGGGATCTGGAAGGACCCATCCTCACACCATCCCTTCCCAAATGTGACTTTCCAGGTGGTGAAGGAGATGGACAATGAGAAGAGGATCCGGCTCCTGCAGTTTGTGACAGGGACATGCCGCCTGCCGGTGGGAGGATTCGTAGAGCTGATCGGTACTTAGACCCTTCTCTGTCCTCTTTGGGGCATGAAGGGGTCAGCTGCATGCAGAGCTTGCCTTGGGGCCACACAGAGGAAGGGGTGCAGGAGTGGACACTGTTCTTGACCCTCTTGACTCTCCCAGCCCCATTTTCCCTGGTTGCTTCCTTGCAAGACACAGGAGTCTTAACTCTGCTCTGGTAAAGGTAAAGGTTTCCCCTGGCATTAAGTCTAGTTGTGTCTGACTCTGGGGGGTGTTGCTGGCATTGTCCGTGGACACCTCCATGTGGCCGGCATGACAACCATGGGTGATTCTTGCAGAAGCAGTACCTATTGATCTGCTCACATTTGCATGTTTTCCAATTGCTAGGTTGGCAGAAGCTGGGCCTAACAGTGGGAGCTCACCCTGTTATTCAGATTCGAACTGCCAACCTTTTGGTTAGCAAGTTCAGCAGCTCAGCAGTTTAACCTGCTGCGCCACCAGGGGGTCCAAGCTGTTCTGGTAGTTAGCCATAATGTTTATTTATTTATTTACGACATTTATATGCCGCCCTTCTCACTCCGAAGGGGACTCAGAGCAGCTTACAAGATATATATACATACAATACATACAATATATTATATTATTAGCATAGTACAATATCAGTATTATATATTACTATATTTTACTATACCATTATATTGTAATATTATTAGTAATATTACATGTAATATAAAATATATAATTATAATATTTATTATTAGTAGTAGTATTATTACATTACATTATAAATATTATATGTATATACAATATATTATATTACATTACAGTACATAACATTATATTATTAGTATAGCACAGGAGTATATTATTAGTATATATTTTATTTATTATTTATTTACGACATTTATATGCCGCCATTTTCATCTCATAGGGGATTCAGTGGCTTACACACACACACACACACACAATACATTGTATTATTAGCATAGTACAATATCAGTATTATATATTACTATACTATATTGTCCTATACCATTATATTATAATATTACTAGTAATATTACATGTAATATAAATATGATATTATTAGCAGTATTATATTGTATTACATTATAATATTATAAATATATATGTATATACAATATATTATATTACATTATATTATTAGCATAGCATAGTACAATATCTATTAAATATTACTATATTGTACTATACCACTATATTGTAATATTATTAGTAATATTACATGTAATATAAAATATAGAATTGTAATATCATACTATTATTACTAGTATTATATTGCATTACATTATAATATTATACTAAACCGCTTTGAGTCCCCCCAGGGGTCAGAAAGGTGGTATATAAATAATGTATATAAATAAATAATACTGTATTATTAGTATAGCACAGGAGTATATTATTAGTAGATATATTAGTATAGTACATGTTGTACTGCTGTGTCCCGTTGAATGCCCTTCCATTGGGTCGAATGCCTCCTGATTTCCCCACTTAACAGGCAGCAACGGTCCCCAGAAGTTCTGCATTGACAAGGTGGGCAAGGAGACCTGGCTCCCTCGCAGCCACACCTGGTGAGTCCCATGGATTCCCTTCCTGTTTTTTTTTCCCCCTTGGGGGTGGGGAGGGAGGTGCCCCTGTTCCTTCCTTCCCAGGATGTGGGAGGGGGCAATACTGACTGTCCTCTTTTGCCCCTCGGCAGCTTCAACCGCCTGGATCTTCCTCCTTACAAGAGTTTTGAGCAGCTGAAGGAGAAGCTCCTCTTTGCCATCGAAGAGACAGAGGGCTTTGGCCAGGAGTGAAGAAGGAGAAGTCAGCCAGCTCTGAAAGGGAGCCAAGGTGCTGCCTGCCTGCTTCCTTCCTGCCAAGATGGCACCCAGAGCCACTTTAGAGTGCTTTGACCCACCATGAGAGGCCTTGCAATTGCAGGCCAACTCTTTCCCCTTTCCTGAAGCCAAGGGCAGCCTCTGATTCGTCCCTTTTGTCAAACCACTCGACACCAAAGAGGCAGCCGCTTCATGGGGATCCTGGCAGGGCAAACTCATGCTCCTCCCCAATTTCCAAAAGCTCCCACACACCCCTTTTCTTGGCCACCAAACCCTGAGCTGTGGCTACCGTTTCGGTACCTCTGCCCTGGATACTGTGGGTGCTGCTTGGATAGGCCTCCCCTCTCCTTCCCCACTGTTTCAACCAAAAGCACTCAACACAAAGAAAGGAATGAGCACTTTGGGGAGCCTCTCCCCCCGACAAAAGATGTGTTGTCCTCCCCCCGGTGCAGAGCGACATCAGAGTCCAGGGACAAAACCCACTTGGGCCTTTGCTTCTTCTAGATCAGGCTTGGACCAACTTCGGCCCTCCTGGTGTTTTGGACTCCAACTCCCACAATCCCTACTGTTAGGGATTGTGGAACACCTGGAGGGCCAAAGTTGACCATGCCTGTTCTAGACCCACCTACTCTTTGCCCCCAAACCCCATTAAACGAGAAGTTGGGACCCTTCATACCACTCTAGCCACATTCTGGGGGAATTGTCCAGACCCGCAGGGACTGTCCACTCTCAGCAGTTGAGGGAGGCTTGTCCTGTTGCCTTTGTGCCCGTTGAGCCTTGCAGGATTGGGGTGGCCCCTTTGGCGGGAGGGTCCGCACCCCAAGAATCCCAGAGGAAGCTGCCATGTGGATCTCCTCTTAGGACTCCAAATCCAGCAGATGGGGGCACCTCCCTGCTCTACACCTAGCTGAGGCATGGGCCAACTTCAGGTGTTTTGGACTCCAACTCCCACAATTCCTAGCAGCTGGAATTGTGGGAGTTGGAGTCTAAAACACCTGGAGGGAGGACCGAAGTTGGCCCAAGCCTGGGCTAGCCTCTGTGCTTGTCTCAGCCTCTACGAAGGAAAAGAATGTGTCTGTGTGTGTACATACCTATAAATATATATAAATCTGTATATATGTGTCTGTGGATACAAAGAACCGCAATAGCTTTTGATGACGGGGATCCTGGATAGTTTTTTACTGCACCAGCCTGCCTCAGCCGATGCCAATTTCTTGTGCAATAAACAATCCGCAGCTGCTGCTTGTGGGCTTTGCCTCTCACCTCTCTCTTTCGGGGGATCATTTCTGGGGTGCGCCAAGGGGCCGGGGAAGGGAGGAGCCTAGCACCACTTTGCAGCACCCACAGCCCATTGCTTGCCTTCTGAAGAAGTGCGTTCCTTTGGTAAACAACGAGGCCACTTTGGAGGGACAAGTCTAGGCTGACGGGAGTGACACTTCTCTGCTTTGAAGAATCTCATCAGCCACAAAGTGAAAATGTTTGCTCAATCATGGAGTTTGCTGCCCCTTGTCTCCCTCACACTTGCATGGCCCCATGTGCTGCCCAATCCAAGCAGGAAGGCACCATCAAAGCCCTCCTGACAGATGGCCATCCACCCTTACAGTAGTTTTATGGAGAAGACAGACTATAAAGTCAATCAATCAATCGATTGATACCACGACTATAAAGTCATAGACTCCAAGTTGGAAGAGACCTCTCCCAAAGACCATCCAGTTTAGCCCCTTCTGTGAGTCAGGAAGGCACAATTCAATCTTTCCAGATGGCCATCCAATGTCTGCTTAAAAACCTCCAGAGAAGGCAACTCCATAGGACTCCCAGGCAGAAGCATGTTCCACAACCATTGGAAGGGACTCTAAAGGTTATCCAGCCTAACCCTATTCTGCCAGGCAGGAAAACACCATCAAATACCTCTGAATAGATGGCCATTTGCCCTCAGATATTAGTTTTATGGCGCAGCTAGCTGAGTGTCAGCTGCATTAAGATCACTTCTGACCAAAAGGTCATGAGTTCGAAGCCAGCCCGGGGGTCGGAGTGAGCTTCCGACCAATTGTGTAGCTTGTTGTCGACCTTTGCAACCCAAAAGACAGTTGCATCTGTCAAGTAGGAAAATTAGGTACCACCTATGTATCGGGAGGCTAATTTAACTAATTTATGAGGCCATAAAAATGACTCCAGCAAAGCATGCGGGGAATGCAGAAGTACTTCATCAGTGTCGCAGATGGACGATGAAAGCGACAGCTCCCCTGGCGGCCAGAAAAGTTAAATAGCCTCTGACTGTCTATATCTGTTGTGTGTCTTTGGCATTGAATGTTTGCCATATATGTGTACATTGTAATCCGCCCTGAGTCCCCTGCGGGGTGAGAAGGGCGGAATATAAATACTGTAAATAAATAAATAAAATCATAGAGTTGGAAGGGACTCCCACAGGCCATCCAGTCCAGTCCCCTTCTGCAAGGCAGGAAGACACCATCAACAGATGCCCATCTAACGTGTTTAAAGATCTCCAGAGAAGGAGATGTTAGAGCAGGAAGAAATCCTGGTCTTTCACAGAATCCTAGACTTGGAAGGGACTCCCCCCAAAGGTCATCTAGTCCAACCTACTTCTGTCAGGCAAGAAGACCCAACCCAAGCTCTCCCAGCAGATGCTCATTTAGCCTGTTTAAAGATCTCCGGAGATGTGCAAGTAGGAACAAATCCTGGTCTTTCACAGAATCCTAGGGTTGGAAGGGATCCCCAAAGGTCATCCAGTCCAATCTACTTCTGCCATGCAAGAAGACCCAATCCAAACCCTCCCAACAGATGGCCATCCAGCTATCTGTTTGAAAACCTCTACCAGACTCCCAGGCACAGAAGATGCCACTGTTGAAGGGCTCCATCTGCCAGGAAGCAAAGAGATAAATTTCCTAAACCCAAAGGGAGGTGGATGGGAAAGAACATCGGGGACTTCCAAGTGTCTCCTGCTTTAAACATTTCTGGAAAGGGCCGGGAGACGTGTGTTTCCACTTGGTTGGAACAAGAGGGCTGTCGCTTCCATCAGGTCTCCCTTGCCTCCTGCCAACAGGGCTGGTGCCAAGGGACTCGACGGCAGGGATGGCACGCAAGATGGAACTTGGGACGCTAGCCCCTGGGGTGGATGGAGGGAGGGAGGGAGGGAGAGTGGCCCCATTGAGGCACCTAAGGACGGCTCTCCGACAACAGAAGCAAGGCCAGTGTTGAAGAAAGTGAGCCAAGGGTGGGTTGTATTCTGAGGGGATGCTTGCAGTGAAGGTGGTTTTGTGCCAGGCTCAAACTCCACAAAAGCCAGAGGCAGAAGAGAGAAGGGGGAGGGTCTCTGGCCCATTTTGGAGCCGTCCCTGGCTTTGTAGGCAGAGGAGACCTGGCAGGAGTCGCAGCAAAACATGTTTGACTTGGCCCAAGGAGCAGGGCTTGGCGCTGAGCTGAGCGGGAAAAGAAGGCGGACGTGTTCTTGCGGGAAAGCAGCCAGCCAGCCATGTCTTCCCAGTGCTGTTTTGGGGGAAGGGGAGGCGCCTTTCCCTCCCCTGCCAGGCCCCGCGTGGCCTTTTTTGGCCTGGAAAGCGCTCCCTTCCTTGCTGCAGGGGCATTGTGGCTTGGGAGGGCCATGCTCCTGCCATTTACCAGCCTCCCCAGCCCTATTTCCGGCCACCTCCCACTAGTCCTGTCCATCTCCCAAGAGGGTAACGTGTGCGGGCGAGAGCCAACGGAAGGAGGCAAGGCCCGATTTGGAACCCATGCGAGGATCCTGCTTGGGAAAGAAAACACCAAAGCAAAGGAAAAAGGGTACCGACGTTGAGGGCAGAATGGCCTGGCTTTTTCATTTCAGGGAAAATAAACCAGCCTGGGCAAGACATTTTCAGCTGAGGAGGGCAGCACATAACACTGGCCAATGCACATTCTGGTGAACCCCATTACTGGGTTTTTTCCCCCCTGCAGATTCCAGAATTGGCACCCGTATCCACCATCAGCTCTAGCTTTTGGAATACATAACATAATGTCATAATGTGTTGTTGAAGGCTTTCATGGCCAGAATCAGTTGTTGTGAGTCTTCCGGGCTGTATGGCCATGTCCAGAAGCATTCTCTCCTGACGTTTCACCCACATCTATGGCAGGCATCCTTTGAGGTTGCGAGGTCTGTTGAAAACTAGGCAAGTGAGGTTTATGTATCTGTGGGTCTAGGGTGGGAGAAAGAACTATTTGTAAGTTGGAGGCAAGTGTGAATGTTGCAATTAGTCACCTTGATTAGCATTGCAAAGCCTTGCAGTTTCAAGGCCTTGCTGATTCCTGCCTGGGGGGATCCTTTGTTGGGAGGTGTTAGCTGGCCCTGACAGTTTCCTGTCTGGAATTCCCCTGCTTTTTTGCTGTCCCAATTTTAGAGTTTTTTAATACTAGTAGCCAGATTTTGTCCATTTTCAAGGTTTCCTCCTTTCCGTTCTCTATTGACCTGCCAAAGCCACTGGGCCTTTCTCAGCCCCAGGAACTGCTTGAATTTCTGGGCCTGGCTTAACACAAAGCACCGCTGAAGGCTCTCTTCCAGCTAAGAAAAGCCTTGTCAAGAAGAGCTCCGAGAATGAGGTATTTTTAGGTTAACGAAGGACTGAAGGGTGATGCAGGAGGTGATGCAGCCATTGGGGACCCCTCCCCCTAGCACCAACTGCCGCTCTGGGCCTGAGTGAAGAGAGAGGGGGCCAGGGGACAGTTCCACCTTGTCTCCTGTGCTATTTATTTATTTATTTATTTACTTCTTTTGTATACCGCATATATCAGCCTAAATAGGCGACTCTAAGCGGTTTACAATAAAATGTGCAACACTAAACAATCTATATAACAGACATACACAGACAATACACATAAAATCATCACGCCTAATTAGAATCAGAACTCGTTCTCACAGTCGTATTACCATTCCTTGTTCAATATGCCGTCATTCCTGAGTCAGTTGTTATTGCATATTTATCCGAACGCCTGTTCGAAGAGCCACGTCTTAACCCTCCTCCTAAACGCCAATAGCGAAGGGGCCTGCCTGATGTCCGCTGGTAGGGCATTCCATAGCCGGGGGGCCACCACTGAGAAGGCCCTGTCCCTCGTTCCCGCCAGCCGCACCTGTGACGCTGGCGGGACCGAGAGCAGGGCCTCCCCAGACGATCTTAACAACCTCGCCGGTTCATAGGTGGAGATGCGTTCGGAGAGGTAAGTGGGGCCGGAACCGTGTAGGGCTTTATAGGCTAAAGCCAGCACCTTGAATTGTGCCCGGTAGCAAATTGGCAGCCAGTGGAGCTGGCTCAACAGAGGAGTGGTGTGCTCCCTGAGTGCCGCTCCCGTTAGCAACCTGGCTGCCGAACGCTGGACCTATGCTAATAGTATAATATAATGTAATGTAATATAATGTAATATAATATAATATATTGTATATACATATATTTATAATATTATAATGTAAGGCAATGTAATAATAATATAAATATAATAATGTAATATAAATATATATGTAATATTACTCATAATATTACAATATAATGTTATAGTACAATATAATAATATGTAATACTGATATTGTACTATGCTAATAACATAATATATTCTATGTATATCTTGTAAGCCACTCTGAGTCCCCTTCGGGGTGAGACGGGCGGCATAGAAATGTCGTAAATAAATAAATAAATATTTCAGCAGCAGATGGAACAAAAACAAGACACAAAGCACTGGATTCAAATGACAAGAAGAGGGATTCCACCCAAACCTTAGGAAGAACATCCCTGATGGTTAAAGCTGGCTGTGACATGAAGAAAGTAAGGAGAGGCAAGCCAGAGATTTTTCTAAATAACCAATAACCACCTCACTGAGGATGCTTGCCATAGATGCAGGCGAAACGTCAGGAGAGAATGCCTCTAGACCATGGCCATATA